ACTCTCTCTCTCTCTCTCTCTCTCTCTCTCTCTCTCTCTCTCTCTCTCTCTCTCTCTCTCTCTCTCTCTCTCTCTCTCTCTCTCTCTCAGTCAACACAACTCAACTCTTTTACTTATGAAATCATCAGCAAGCTGTAGGTTCTACACATGTTGGTATAGCTCAAAAATGTTAGTTTGAAAAGAATAGCACTTTTTCAATAATATGTGGTTCTCGTGGCAAGTGCTCGAGAAGTTATGGAGAGAAAAGGACGAAACAGATTACATAAAGAGGAAGGGAGATAGGAATATGTCTTACTGATGGTCAAAACCTGTGTCGAACCACACAGCCCGTGCAAAAGTTGCCCCACCAAATTTGCACATTTAGGGTTTCGTGTTCTCTTTTCTTGTGCATTTTCCACCAGCTGCTCAGTCACAAGAACACCCTAACCGAAGTGAAATTCCAGCTCATCAACTGCATCTTCATACCAACATTAACATACCAGTGCCAGACATGGTCTCTAAAAAAGAAACGAAACCATACGTCTACAAACTGGAATACCACCAGTAATAAAATTCATACAGCGTCAATGAGTCAAATGGTTTTGACATCTAATCAGAATGCCCAGAAACAACTTGCGGCTAGAGCTTACAATACCCGAGAATACGGCTTTAAATCAAGAGGAAGACCAAGAATGACCTGGCTGGATGGGGTTAAAAAGGTCCCGGAACAACATAACATTTCTATCACAGACGCTACACACCTAGCACAGGACTGAAACTTGCTCCTCACCTCGACATCCTAAGGATCAGAGGAAGGAAAATGTAAAGTAAAAGCAAAGTAATCGGGAATACAACACGGCGTTTCATAAAACCCACTGGTGAAATAGTGAATTCCACAGATTGTAGAATTCACGATCGTATCAGGCCAGATTCGAAAATGAAAATCGTGAATCCCACATTTAAAAACGAAACAACAACATGACCATGAACGATTAAAAAAATGGACTTTAATATTGTTTCTTTAAGATACTGGACTAGATTAATCCATTTTAGTTTATGTCCCCCTGACCCAAGCTCTCCGGCTGGCGACAGAGAGACGTCTCTTTCTTCCTGGACACCCAAAAGGGTATAAGCGGCGAATAAAAGTAAAGTTTATGTGTTGAACGCCAAATGATGGAGAAACTCAGTTTTTCCCTCTCCTGTAAAATTTGCTGCGTGTGTAATTCCCGATTTCATCATGTGACCGACGATAAGTCTTGCTGACGGTCAAAAACTGTAAGGAACCACATAGACTGTCTGTATGTTGCCCAGCCAATTTACATATTTACGGTTTCGTGTTCTCTTTCTTGGTCCATATTCCACCGGCTATACAAATATTTGGAAAAAAGGACGAGTCTGTTTATCAAAGCTATCACTTCTGGTAATGTGAGCTTAGAAAAGCAAACGTCTACCTCTATTCTATTTTTTTTTAATGTGTCGCGACGTGGTGGAATCAGGTGCATGTCAGATTTTGGGCATATGGATTTTATTGGTGTCAGCTCAGAGCCTGTTTATTTGCCTCGCTTTTGATGAAAAAATAGTCATCTATGTAGATTAGAAGTCGAAATATTTGCAGGGTTGCTTGGTTTCAGAGGTGAAATTTGCTAGAAAATGGCCGCCAAAGTTTGATAATTTCCATAGCTTGAGAGTCCTTGAAAATTGAAAATTGACTATTTTGTGCCTTTAATCAATGTTTTTCAGTAAAAATCCACACAGAAATGATATAAAAGTGTTGA